TCTGAAGTCATTTTGGAGGTCAACAGCACTCAGCATGAAAAATAAGATCAGGATTTTCAGCTCCATTGTGAAATCAGTCAGTGCCACTTATTATACGGATCACAGACTTGTACTATGCGTCGCGAAGGGCACTTTGAACAAACTACAGACCTTCGTCAACAGCTAGCTGTCTTCGTTCAATACTACTTAAGATCAGATGGCCAAAAAAGATCAGCAAAAGGGGTCTCTGGCAATGAGGAAACCAACCAGGAACCGACTGTGCAACAAATAAGCAGGAAGAAATGCAAGTGGATTGTCCATACCCTGAGGAAGCCATCAAGTGACATCACACAACAGTCTCTTTCTAGTGGAACCCGAACGGGAAGTGACGAGCTGATCCTCAGTGCGAGGGTGACATGGAAGAGGTGATGTGACGAGGAGATGAAAGCATGTGGGCAGACGTGGCGTCAGATGAAAACATTGGGAGAGAACCGAACGCAATGGAGATGTTCGGCTGAAACCCTATGTTCCTCTAAGAATTAAAGGAAACAATAATAATAATTATGCTTATAATGTATGTTCATTTACTGATAAGTTCGAATGTTGACAATATTTCGAGTAAAATTAACTAATCATGATTATGAGAATATTTTTGAAAATTATGAATGACGGTTATATAATCCTATTTTCATTTTCTTCCTGTCTAGCTAACTGGTCACTTTTCTTGTTTGCATAACTATGTATTCATATGGTTGACAGAGGTAGTTTTTTTCCTTTTGGTCATAACTTGTCACTCATGTCGTGGTGACATTTGTGAGTAGGGATATTGTCATCAGCTTACGCTTTTAGCTGACTTCCTATTTTTGAATTTAAAATGCAGTCCTCCAAGCTACCACATCACCCCCATCCCGATGACCAACGAATATGAACAGCTATGGATGAACCTTTTTTATATTCTTGTATTCCTTCTACGGGGAACTTTGGTTCAACAGTTATTATTATTTATTCTTATTCTGAGAGATCCTCATATTTGCTAAGTGTAGTTAGGATCATTGAGCATCGATGTGGATCCGGGAAAAAGATCAAATACAAAATGCGAACACCATTCATATATGAGGATTGTTATCTAATAATGTGTGAATAAGGGAATCCTAGCTGTGGGTGCGTTCATGGAGAGAAATTTTGCTCAAAACACTATCAACGTCTACTGCATACACACTTGTAATGCTTTGATTCATTCTATAACATAATACTCAGACCCTTCAGTAATATCAATACTAGGTCTACTTATTAGTTTATTCTGATTGCATCTCTGCTGATAACACCAATTTGGGGTGGGGACAAGCTGAAATTAAGTACTTGTGTGTTATGAATCTTTATTGCGATTTATTCAGTGGCTGGAATGTAATTTTTTGATTATAGCTTGATTCCACACCGTATTTTTGGTACAGGTATGGAATTTCAGCATGTAATATCGGTAGTCCAAATTCTGCAGACTAACCACTGATATCAGGTGTGAGTCAGCAGGGAATCGAACCCCAGACCATGTACATGGTCGGCGACAGTCCTAACCACTCATTAAAGAAATCTTCTCAGCGATTTCATCCTTAGCACACAACAGGTGAGACAGCATCTCAGCTGACTCGTCATTTAAAAAGTTAAGGAAAATCTACCAAAGTTAATGTGTTCCCAACTTCTTTGTATCGCAGAAGCTTTTCCTAGCTAGCCATTTACATCGACAAGACTACCACGAACATAAGTTCGACTGAGACAACGTCCAGGTATAAGACAGAGTAAACACCAAGAACGCTGGAGAATATTTAGAAGCCTGGTATTCCAGTGAATCGTCAATTAACAGACCCATTGACATAGACAAAATTTACAAATCAATAGGAAGCAAATCTCACACACAAAGGGTCAAACCTCAGGTCAAGGAAACAATCAGTACCAATACAAGTGTAGCCTAGAGGGTGCTGAAACACACAAAAACAACCAATCAAATTCAAGGTGGTCACCAGGATAGATGACTTATAAACTCGTGGAGAAATCTAAAAGCTGACTTTAATTCAAATTGAAGTATGCGCTGAAAATGTTGCCTAGAAAGTAGGTCAATGAAAGCTTTGCGAATAAACCATCCAGCTATCTCGAAAAACACAACTACATTGAAAGCATTGAGAAGCTGTGCTAGAAAGTAGCTAATCCAACCTCTATATTAATCATGAATCTAGTTCTCTTTGGTTGCTTATTTGTTGCCTTTCTTCATCTTCATTTATACAGAAAATTATTACTATTTGTTTCAAGGATGTTTTCAGTGAAACTACTTTACATATTACGCAATTGCTTTTTAATCCTGTGTAGGTTTGTCTATACGCCCCTTGTGTATCACACCTTCAAACGTTCATATCACCTTTAATCTCCCTACGTTGAATTAAACAAGAATTGTAACTTTGTAAACTTATGCATAAAAATGTGGCTGTACATCTTTTGAAGATAAAAGCAGAGATAAGATACCTTTCCTGAACTTCTTTTTCTTTTGGTTTTAATCTCCTTGTGGGTATATTCCACAACTTCATCAGAAACAGGCCTGACTAATGAAGCGGTTTCATTAGACTCAAGGAACTCTCGAAAAGAACCATCTACTTCTTTGGTTTATGTTAAATATTAGTGGTCTATTAGCCAGTTTCCATCAGTGACGAAACCCGTCTAGATAATATTTCAACAACTTTTGAAGCACTGGACCTCAAATGTCAATAAACATGAGTTCTAACGTTTTATCAATCTTCAGATAGGCCTATACACAAACACCAAGTCATACAAAACTCAGTTACACAACAAGAACCACGGTGGTTTGTGAAGAATAAACTGGTACCATCACTTATTCTGTTGGCTTCCCATTAGCTCAACGGAGTATGGCCTAAATATATTATCACCAAGTTTATTTACAGAAAAAACATCAACATATTTACCCAAAGAGTTCAAGTTTAAACAATGGCAATAATAATGATAACAACTGTAACATTATTCTAAACAGTAATAATCATACTGAATGGAATTTTCAGTGTGACGCATACGAATGAAAGTGAAAGAGACAGGGAAGACATCCGGTTACCAGAGCAAGAGAAAACTGATGTTAACTGCTCCTTTTGGAACACATAAATAGGGTTTCAGGCGTCTGATAGAGATTGATTTTGCAGACTTGAGGAGAATTGAGCTCTTTTATCTACTGATAATTTTAAAGGATTTCACATTTTCCACCTCATGACGCGTATCAAGAAGATGCCTGGTAATGCCACTGTGGAAAAGGATTTGTTTCCTTGATATGCAGACGTTTTGGTATATATTCAGAAAGTCAGTGTAACTGCTACCGCAAATACATTTTGATTTGTATAAACGGTTAAAGTTAACATGAGAAGGGTATCTGTAGACTTTCGACTGCATGAAATAGCATGTTGTCTGATAAATGGTAACCAAATTGGCTGTAGGATAGGGCCTGCTTAGTGACGTGTTCAATCTTTTGGTTGACTATTTCTGCAACACCTACCATCCTGAAAATCGAGCTGAATGAATATTGACTTTCTGTCTCACTATGAACTGTTCTACGCCTGACCCTTCATATCTTCTGTACCTATTAGTGAATCCCTGAGAGCAACCGTTGTTTTTCAACATCTTTTCGAAAATCAGGATTTTTTCTCCTTGATATGAGTTAGTCAACCAAGTAGTTCACCTTTATTCAAGTTTGTTGAAGCAATCTCCACCAAACACCTGAAACCTGGTTTATGTATTCACAAGGAAGCAGTTATCAGTATTTCCTTGTTGTGATAACTAACTGCCTTTATTCTTTTTTTCAGTTGATTACGTAACGCTGAAAATTTCATTCGGTGTGACTGTTACTGTTGTTTGGAATAAAGTGATTATTACTAGTATTACTGTTACCCTTGCGTGCATAGATTGATTTTTTGTTCAAACTTGAACTTTCTGGATGAGTATTTTAAGACTCTTAATATATATACTCAGCGGAACACATAAGAAGCCAACGAAGTAAGCAATGATGGTGCCATTTTATTCTGCACAAATCACTGTTGTTCTTGCTTTATTCAACTTCATATAGGAGAATAAATATAAGGAAATAATAAAAAACTTTTAAGTTCAAGAATTTTTGAAACTGAAGGGTAACTCTTCTCAGCTCGATTAACATACGTTTTGTGATAAGAGATGGCATCTATGGATCTTACTTTTAATGCGTTCAAATGACAGATCTTAACACCTGGAATCAGTTTACAGTATATACGCGATGGGACATACAACTGTCGCTACCAGAAAATAATGTAATCCCGGCACCAATTCATCTCACTATTATCTTTATTATTCCCTGGATTTCTCAGCGGAACACATGGCTTCATCAACACATCTTTATTCCACTGAATTCTCTTCAGTCCTGTTTAGCTAGTACCAACGATTTCCCATAGGTTCTCACCTGCCCCTCACATGATCCTCTCCATGTTACTCTTACAGTAACCTCAAACTCGTAGTTTCCGATTCGGGTTGCACTCGAGTGTCTGTCTAGCAGACGATGTCACTCAATGGTCTCCACGCCGTATGTCAAATCCACTCTATTTCCTGCGGTTCATTTATTGGTCGTTAGGTTCTTGGTTGGCTCGTTGCCTGTCATTTCTGACCAGGCATCTCATCTTCATTGTGGCGCGAAAAGTCAGCTGTTGATGGAGGATTGTGGCAGCTTGTCGAAGATGCTTTTGCTGATGCATGAGTCATCACCCTGATGCACATAGAAGCACTAACTAACTTAATATTTACGTTGGAAATCCGTATCTTTATGCCAAGTGCTGTATATTTCTACGCTGAATTTAGGCTACTCAAGGTCTACCTTGTCACCGTGTTAATTAACTTCAGGAATTCATTCCACATTTATGTGAGTATGTATAATAAAAGTCAAACACTTACTTTGAATTATTATGTTATGTAAATGTTTTCTTTCACTGGCCAAATAACAATAATAAACTCACCTCTTTGAAATTGGAACCTTCCATGATACTGGAAAAACAGAAAAAAAGACATATAACTTTTCAGTGGGTGAATAACGTTCAAAATAAAAATGTAACAAATGGTACTGAAAATCAACAAAATATAAATGATGGTTGAAAAAAAAGAGACAAAATACAGAAGTAAGCAACAGTAAAGAAATAGACACCACAGTCGAATGACCTTGAGCCGACCAATCAGACTTCCAAGCCTTACAATTGGACTCCATTTATAATCCTTCTTGCAAGATTCACCAAGATTTGATTTTCCAGTTCTGTGTGGAAAATTGATTGATAGGAAGGACTAAAACATCCATGTGTGGAGGGATAATGACTCTTCAGCAGTATTACCAAGCTACTTACTGATGGATATGCAATCAGATGAGATCACTGTTATGTGAGGAAGTCTGTCAGAGCTGGTAAGTTGCACCTTATGGTGATTTTTTAGACACTTTCTTCTCGAAACCGAAACTCTGTCTCCTTACTAAAATATTGTGTGTATGCCAAAACTGGCTACTGAGACGACAAGTATCTGATACACAATAATAATAATAGTAATAATAATAATCTACTTTACTCCAAAAACAGTACTACTTTTAATACAGAATGGAACTCTCAGCATTTGTCACAATATTCCAGCTGATTTACTCAAAATATAAATAAAATTAAAAATTAAAACATAATTAACCAGAGAAATATGTCCACATTTACTATATAAAGTCAAAAATATTCGAAGTACGAATTGAGAATATTGAATGTAATAGTAAGAGTGAGTTTGTTTCAAACAGTATTGGCGATTCATTTTGGAAATTTTAGCATGTTATAGATTATTGAATCTAATGTTCTGTTGATATAGCAGCATGGTGAGGCGAAAGACAAAATTACCACTTATAACACAGCTTAAATGATGTTCACGCTTATGAAAAAATAAACAAATAAAAAGAAAAACTTGAGAGGATTATAAATAGAAGAAGTACAATAACAATAAAGCTTGATGTTGTAAGGGTGGAGGAAATGGTTTATTTAGTAGTGCAAAGAAGGTTAGTTAGTTCATGCTTAACACTTTTTTCATCACATAAAATACGTGCGGCAAAATATGGTATAGTGGAATTTTTATACTTAGATGTACGTGCATAAATTCTTCTGAAAAGACTTCTTGTTTTACCTGAGGAGACACGTCGGAGCTGCGGATAAAAGTGTATGCTCACAGTTTGAAGAGATCCCTTTAGCGAATTCGTTGTATGACATCAAGTGCATATCAATGACGATATCAACGACATGGCCCAATGGGATACCACTTGTCCTACTGACAGTCACTCTCCAGAGTTCTACGAAGCATGACATAGTCTTTTTTAAGCAATCCAAAAAGAATAAGGATGAATAGTAAAGAAGAATAGGTAAGAGGCACGAGTTGACAAACTGTAAAATGAGGAGGGGTTGAGTTATGCCTAAGTGCCTTAACTTCCTAATGTAAAATGTCAAACGAAATATTCTTTTAGAAATCTCTAAGACATGGGAAGACCAGAATAGGTCAGTAGAAATAGTTATTCCAAGATACCTAACTTCAGGCTTGGTCTCTATATCAGTATCATCAATTTTGTAACGGCCATAGGAACAAACAGCTACATTTAACTTTTTTTACATCGGAAAACTTCGGAAACAGAGAATATAGAAATGTCAGTAATGAAGTGGTATCATTATTTTCAGGATATTGTCTCACAAAAGATCAATGAAATTACTTCCGTACTTGGTGTCGTTGTTCAAATTGACGAAACAGTACTTATTAAACGACGAATGAATCGCCACGGTAGGAGAAGAGAAAACTATGTTTTGGATGCTGAGACTGTATGATACAAACCTTCGAAAAGATTTACTTTGGACGCATCTCAAACAGAAGTGATGATGTTTTAATACGAATACAATCGCAGACACTACCATTCCCACAGACGAGTGGAGAGGTAATAAAGCCAAACATTATTTTGGATTAGTGAGTCCTACAAGGGGAACTCATATGAATTATGTTGAAGCATTCTGGGCTTATCTGTTAAAAACGTATTAGAGTGGTAAATGGATGCAGAACTGATATGACATATGGCCACTTTAATGAATTATTGTATCTACAGACACTTCTAAGAGAAACTGGGACTGATTTTTACAAGGTGCCCTGCATGACTCATTTTTACTACATATTTATATTATAAACAGACATTTTATTCAATAAATGCCACTTTTCACCTACAAGAATCTGATTGGATGGTTCTAGGTCATTCAATTTTGGTGTCTATTCATTATTGTTGCCCAGGAGTACATTAATCAATATCTTTCTGAAATCATAATGTAACAGGAAGCTGTATTCGCCTTCATGGAATTACAAAAATGCACTACACTCGTCGCTGAGTACTCATTCTGCCTAATTGATTTTATGGTTGACTGGTCACCAGTCATGTGGAAGGTCTAGATTAGATTATAAGCTGACTCAATTCTAAAAACCTTGCTTAATCTACTAACTGATAGTAAATAATTTTGGAGTATTGGTTTTTTGTAGGGATTCTGTTTGATTGGTTAAAGGATTTCATCGTGAGCTGACATCGGATAGAGAACAAGCTTTGAGAACTGGATAGCTGTTTCGTCGACCTAGTTTGGGACTTTTCACAGTACGCACCCATCACAGGAGGTTCGAGTCCAAGACTTTCTGGTTACAAGGCAAGCCTGTAGACCATTAGGGTACCGCTACCCGACCCAAGGGCCAGCCCATGAATTTCAGCTTCGGCGGATTCACGCACGACAAAGCGCGACCGATTCGCAATGTCTTCTTCGATGAGTTACTGCCTCACCTACAGTTTGCTAGAATTCATCTGCCATTGGATCGGGTCTCAGTGGCTTAGTGGTCTACGAGCTCACTGGACTTGTAACCAGAAGGTCCTGGGTTAGAGTCTCCTGTGGTGAATGCGTACTGATGAAGAGTCCGAAACTAAAAAGAAACAGCTGTGCTAGTTTTCCAATGCTTCCCTAACTGATGTCAACTCATGATGAAATCCTCCAGCTAATAGTAAGTTAACTTGGAAAGAAAGACAGAAGATGGAAATTGAGACTGCCAACCTCATCCCATTGCTACTGAAACTCCTAAAAAGGATTCCTCTCGTAATGCAATGGAACTATTCCATCTCAACCTGATTTCTCCATTTATCGAAAGGATATGACTTGAATTTTAATTTATTTCCACACTTATTCACGATTATTTAATAGGAAACAAAAAAAATTATTTAGATAAAACTCATTTCTCACCTCTATGTACTGAATTAAAGTCAAATATACATTGTGTTCAAATTGTAAGTCAGACATTATTTACCATGACAACGGTGAGTGATATTGTTAAATATAAATTTTATATGAAGATTATCTTAGCCTCATAGACTAAAAAGGATGATGTTTACACACCTTGAGATAGAGATAAATATATATATATATATATTAAATATTTACATAACTTTTTCTGAGATCTAAACAATCAAAAACGAACACACATTTAAATTCAAATTCACGTTGAGTACGAATGACCTTGTGGAGTAGATTACAACTGGAACAATCTTGTTAATTAGCAGAAGTGAATGTGTATCTTTCGTGTAAAACTGAAAGAGCGGGGAGGGGAATGGGACTGGATTATATGGATTAGATTTCCTCATTTATGGGTCAGTTTGAAGGACAATTGTACTGTTTTTATGTAAAGATCTTAGAGAGGTGAAGAGGGAGATAGTTAGGGAAGAGATTTTAATTTACATTTTCAAAGTTAATTTTTTAGTTAGATGTTTAAATTAGGATGACATTCAAACCTGCAAACTCACTCAGGTAGGACAAGCTCTGGAGTCTGAAGGACCCAGTGGACCCAATAAGACAAAATAATATAATTTAAAAAATACCTTGCAATGACTGTGAGTGAGGTCAACTACATACATCAGACTAGTAGATTGAGAGTAGCGAGATTTTCAGAACATAAGGATTTAGTGGTCAGTGTCCGAATGACTGAGCCCACGAAGACAGATGAGTAATTTAGAAAAAAACTCAGCTATAGCAGTGCATGAATTAACACACAACCACACAATACGGTGAGTGGGACAAAGTTAAAATTCTAAGAAGTAATATAGGTAGGTGACTCAATGCAAATACCAGAGATATTGAAGATATTATTACCACCAGTCAGTCAAATCAGAGGAGGATAATAAATAATCTTAAAGTTCTGTTTCAATTCAAGTATATCATAACATTCTAACAAGTTACTTATTTTGACTATAAAAACACTCGTCTTATTTCCCATCTGATTGTATTTGATTAATAACACTCATATTATTATTTCCGAATGTACATTATCTCTTATTAATTGTTATTGCAATGTCTAATCATCAATTTCACTCATGTATATGAACGAAGGAAGAAAGTTATGTGAGTGAGTACCCTGATATGATTATGAGTAGTGATAAATTGTGCCCGAAACGTGGTCATCAGTAAATATTACTGTATAACACTGCGTGACTTTATCAAAATAAAATTGTATCCATAATGGAATTATACTCTACTATGGTGCCCAAGTTTTATCTTTATGGCAAGAACAAGAATTTGCGCGGAACGACATGGTACCATCATTCGTTTCGTTAACTTCTCATCAGCTGCGTGCAGCCTAAAGAAATAAGTTAAGTTTATATGCAGAACAATTTTAACACACCTGCGAATGGAACATGATGCCAGTTGACAAAAAACTCCAAACTTAATAAATAATGCTCAGAAAGTTACATAGTTTTCACCAAGAGAGTCCATTTTTAAACATTTGTAAATGTTTTCATACATGTCAAAGGGTTACGTAATAAAGAAAAGAGTAACTAATAAATCGGGTAACAGACTAGTGAGTTCAACTCAATTCACAGAATTAAGAGACAATTAAAGTTATGTTATAATGTAGTTAGAAGAGGTTAGAGCCAACAATCGCGTAGTCACTTCTTAAAGAGGGAAAGAGGGAGAGTA